ACACTGCATCGATCCAAACCTTCCCCTCCAGACAACTCCTCCTGACACATTACAAAAGTAATGCCTTTCCCCAGGCTCTATTAACCGATTGCAAGAAAGAGCAAACAAATGATCAACAAACCAGTGATTTACGTGACCAAAGCAGTTCCACAGAGTAACGGGGCAACCACCTGCAAAAAGCTGCTTCTCATTCCTTCCCAGAGCGCGTTGGAGGCAAAGGGCGAGCTGTGCTCAGAAAGCAGCCCTTCCCTTTTCATCTCTGCTCTTTTTAAGCCTGCCTTCAAACTCAGGAGGTCTTCTGCTTTCACAACCCCAGTGCTTTAGTACTTGTAAGTACCAGTGGGTCATTTCTATTTATGGAGATTGAAAAAATCTCACCTCTAGGTTGTAATAATGGAAGGGAAAAAAAGAACCTAAAGAGAGCCCGGACACTGAGTTGTGGGGCTGGGGGCTACTCCACCTCCACGTCAGGTGCTTGCACCCCCAAAGTAACCTGACAACTGCTGCTGTCTCGGGACAAGAGGAGAAGGGAGGGCGGTACAGCAGGAAGGATGAAGATGACTGTCTGCAGAAGCAACGTTCAATGTCTCCTGTGTTCATCCCCAGTGGCAGCTGGATGTCACACCACACTGGCCTCTGCCTTTCTCCACACCATTTCTGTAAATTCCTCTCTCTCCCCCCATGCTGTTCTCTTGCTGTTGGGTGTGATCGTGGATGGGACACCACCCACGGGGAAGGGAGGGAGAGGTGATGCACCAGATGAGCTTGACCTGATGCTTCCTCAAGCACAGGAAGCAAATGTTGCACCAGGGAGTACCAGGGGGAAGAAAGCCACTAAATCTTGACACCTGACATCTTAAACTAAATAAGATTAAAAAGAGGTGGTTCCTCTTCCCCAGGCTCTGAGTAGCTTATGTATTTTGACTGGACTCGTGACTCCATGGCTGATTTTTAGGCAAGTCAGCAAACTTAGGCTTATGTTTCTTGTGACCCTTGGCTACACGGCTGGAGAAGGGTGCCTGTGTCCTGCAAGCTGAAAGGCATGGTGAATTTCTTAGCTGTACTTTCTGGCCCAAAGATTATCATTTTCATTTCTTGTTTTGTTTCAAGTACCCCAGCTCCCAAAGGGGATAAGCTGTCTCTGTTTCACCAGCCCTTCCCTGTGGCCTGGTGTCCCGGGTTCCCCCAGGAGGAAATGCTGGGTCCAAATAAGAAATGCTGCCGTGGATCTGAGCCGTGACTGTCTCTGCCCTCACATTCCTGTTTCTGTGGGTGAAAGCAGAGCATTTCCTCCTTCCACGTAGGTGCCTTGAAAATAGCTCTGGCTCTCCAGGAGAACGGCGTGGCTTCCAGCCAGAACGAGGGTCCCGAGATCCAACAGGGGTTGCGTTTGGGGGCCTGCCAAATGGGCAAATGATCTGCTACAAAGCAGGGAGATGGAGCTGGCTGCAGAGAGTGGCAGCAGAGTCATTGATGGAAAGCTGGGGCCACACTCCACTGCAGCGTGACGCAGCAGGGAAACCAGCCAGTGGGAGCATGAATGGTGAGGAATCCATGCCATCCATTGCTTTGAGGCAACCCGGCTTTATGTGGGGCAGCAGGTTCCAGTTCCTGGAAGCTGCTGGGGTGGAATTGATGGCTTTGTACCATTTTGCTGGTATTTTGCCCAGTAGCTCTGTGTCCTCCCTGTGGCTGTGCAGCGGAGCTCAGATTTAACTCACACGCGCATTGGGATTCCCTGCTGAAAGGTTGTCTTCCTGGGCCAAAATCACCTTCCTGCAAAGGTGCCTCCTCCTCCTGAGGTGCTAAAGCAGCAGGGACCGCGGCAGCAGCACCAGGAGAGCTGCACAGAGGCTTCCGGAACAGTCCTCACCATCAGTACAGACTGGGGGGTGAGGTATTAGAAAGCAGCCCTGAGGAAAGGGACTTGGGGGTGCTGGTGGATGAGAAGCTGGACATGAGCAGGCAGTGGGCACTTGCAGCCCAGAAGACCAATTGCATCCTGGGCTGCATCAAAAGATGCGTTGCCAGCAGGTCCAGAGAGGTGATTCTTCCGCTTTACTCTGCTCTGGTGAGACCTCACCTGGAGTATTGTGTGCAGGTCTGGAGCCCTCAATATAAGAAGGACATGGACCTGATGGAGAGGGTCCAGAGGAGGGCCACAAGGATGATCAGGGGGATGGAGCACCTCTGCTACGAGGACAGGCTGAGGGAGCTGGGGTTGTTCAGCCTGGAGCAGAGGAGGCTCCGGGGAGACCTAATAGCAGCCTTCCAGTACCTGAAGGGGCCTACAGGAAGGCTGGGGAGAACCTGTTTACAAAGGCCTGCAGTGACAGGATGAGGGGCAATGGCTTCAAGCTGGAGGGGAACAGATTTAGACTGGAGATGAGGAGAGGGTTCTTCACTGTGAGGGTGGTGGAGCACTGGAACAGGTTGCCCAGGGAGGTGGTTGAGGCCCCATCCCTGGAGATATTCAAGGTAAGGCTCCTGGGCAACCTGGTCTAGTTGGGGGTGTCCCTGCTGACTGCGGGGAGGTCGGACTAGATGACCTTTGGAGGTCCCTTCCGGCCTGGGCAATTCTATGATTCTATGATTCCCTGTTGCCTAAGCAAGATGCAGGGAAGGCAGAAGGTGGCAGCTCAGAATAAGGAGAGCAAAGCAATTATGGACACAATTTGCCGTGCACACAGCCAGCCCCGACACAGGCCTGGTTCTCCTTTCTCACAGGCGGGAAGCTCTTCTGCAGAGCAGTGTCTGTTACCAACCGAGTGGATTTCAGAGCTCACTCCACCTCCACTCAAGCTGACAAACTGCTGCCAGCCCCGGCTGCGGGTCCTGGCCGTTCCTTGTGCCTGCACCCACGCTCACCCCTCCTGACGGGAGATGGGTGCCAACAGCTAACTCACTCAAGGAATAGTAACTTAATTTCTTATAATTAATTTTGTTAGCGTGCTGGTTTCTCTGTCTGGCTTAGATACAGTCCAGGGTTGCACCCCGTGCCTACAAATCAACCAAGAAAAGAGGCAGCATTTTAAGGCTGAGTCTATCTTTAGAAATCAAGCATAAAACCAGGCAGCGGATATTTTGGTAACACACTGAAAGGATCAAGACTAAAGTACACATTCTAAAATAATACTCCACACTTACATGCTTTAAGTAAGATTTTTTTAAAAGAGGAATTTGCAGCCAGTACCAAAAAATAGCAAATAGCACACTTGGAAAGATGAAAAGCAGGAAGGCTGGGATCGAAGCTAAGCCAGATACATTAACCCCCAGCCTGTTCCCTACCCTGGACACGGCTCAGGACTCAGTCCTACCCCTTGATCCTGCATATAAGCAGCCAGTAAAATGCAGTTATTATTTAAGTATGCCAGGGCATGAACATGAAATTGTCACACTGCGGTTACTCACCTCTCCTCTTGCTACAGAAGCTGTTTGAGCTGGTTGCCAGAGATACGGACACAAACAGAGCAGATTTCTGTCTTCTGGGAACAAACAACCCAGCCGAGCTGGCTGCTGCTGCAGCATCCAGAAGGTCCTAATGGAGAGGGCATTAGGGAAGCCTGTTTGTGACAAGACAAGGAGGGGAGGCTGCGGAGGGGAGCTGGCAGCTGAGAGAGCCAGGTCCTGCCGTGCTGCTCTTCAGTGCTCCTCAAACATGGGCTGCCCCTTCCCCGGTGCCGGCCCTGCACCCACCCCACAGGTGTCACCACTCCAAGGATCAGTCAGCCAAGTGCCACAGCCAAAGCGGTCACAGAATCATGAATTGTCTCAGTTGGAAGGGACCTTTCAGATCATCTAGTCCAACCATCAACCTAACTGATAAAAACACCCATCACTAAACCATGTCACTAAGCTCTGTGTCAACCCGTCTTTTAAATAGCTCCAGGGATGGTGCCTCAACCACTCCCCTGGGCAGCCCATTCCAATGTTTTATAACCCTTTCTGTGTAAAAATTCTTCCTACTATCCAACCATCTCCCCTGGTGATGGTTGAGGCCATTTCTTCTTGTCCCATCACCTGTGACTTGGAAGAAGAGACCAACCCCTTCCTCTCTGCCCCCTCCTTTCAGGGAGTTGTAGAGAGCGAGGTCTCCCCTCAGCCTCCTTTTCTCCAGGCTGAACACCCCCAGCTCCCTCAACCTCTCCTCATAAGACTTCTTCTCCAGACCCCTCACCAGATTCATTGCCCTTCTCTGGACCCACTCCAGCACCTCAATGTCTTTTTTGTGGGAAGGGGCCCCAAACTGGACACAGCACTCGAGGTGGGGCCTCACCAGTGTTGAGTACAGGGGGACAATCACCTCCCGAGTCCTACTCACCACGCTCTTCCTGATACAGGCCAGGATGCTGGTGGCCTTCTTGGCCACCTGGGCACACTGCTGGCTCCTATTCAGCCAGCTGTGGACCAACATGCCCAGGTCCTTTTCTGCCAGGCAGTTCCAGCCACTCTGCCCCCAGCTTGTAGCACTGCATGGGGTTGTTGCGACCCAAGGGCAGGACCCGGCACTTGGCCTTGTTGAACCTCATCCCATTGGCCTCGGCCCATCCATCCAGCCTGTCCAGATCCCTCTGCAAAGCCTTTCTACCCTCCAGCGGATCAACACTCCCACCCAACTTGATATCAACTGCAAACTTACATTGTTAGTGGTCAACGAGCTCTCAAGCGAAAATGCACCCTGACTTTTTCCTATCCAGCAGGAAAAGCACCAAGCACCTCCAGGGGAGGGCATGTTTTACCAGGAATAAAGGAAGGGTGAAGTCAGGGCAGCCAGTGAGCCCAGTCTGTGCCCTGTTGCGTGCATCTTTCAGCCCAGGCTTTCCAAGAGAGGCAGGTCTCTAGGCTCAGCTCTTTTACTCCCAGTAAGCCTTAAACAAGTTCAATCTTCCAAGCTGACCGTAGCCAGCCTTGCCTTCTGGCTTTGCAACCACTCTGAGCAGAAGCACCCTGTGAGTATGCTGCATTTTCTGGGTTCTTCTGACTTGACAATCTCATTGCAGGCAAGAGTATCGCCCATGGACTGGAGCAAAACCATCCAAGCCTATAAAGACAAAGCAAGGCTTCATTATCCCAGAAGACCACTTTGTTCAAGAGACAAGCTACAAGGCAGATTTTAAGGTAACGAACATTTTTTAAAAATCCCCAAGTCAATATCAGTAAAGCCCAAAGTACACATCAGGAACTCCTCATTTGTTATCAGTATGGTGTGTGTAGGATAAAGCCATCTCCCCATTGACCACTCTTTCATCACTGCCCGTTAGGTAACGTGGCCACCCCTTGCTTTCAGAGAGACACACTAGAGAATGTCACACCATAGCTCATCATAATTCAACCTGACACCAAGATCTTACACTGCATGAGAGCCAGGAAGTTCAAGATTTGCAGTTCCCTCGGTGGGATACCTTACATGCGAGGTGTGTGTCATTCTCCCTCTCTGTGGGAGACACATCTAACACCCTCTGCACACACTTGGGACAGTCGGCGTGCACAAGCGTTAGGGCTGCAACAGCAAACTCCACCATGGACACAAGTGTTTGCAGATCACAACCCAAGGAACATCCAAACAGGACAACACTCCCCCAATTCTGGTAAGGGCAGAAGCTGCCCCTGGTGCCAACACCAAGGAGGAGCAGCCAAGCCACTCTGAGACTTCCTTGGGATTTTTTCTGTGAGTTCCTACAACCAGTGTGAGATCCTTTTCTTGTTGGGGAAATACATCTAAGCCTTACAGAAAATCCCAGGAGGAAACATTCTCTCTGCACTCAGCCATTTCCCTGGAGGGGCCCCCCACATTCCCCGTCCCACGAGGAAGGGACCCCCACACCTCCAAGGCTCTGCTTTAGCTGCCTGTTGCCTGAGACCACCAAAGAGAAGGGCACTTCACAACCAACCAGCAGAAGCTGATCCCAGGCTGCAGCGAGTGGCTGGGAAAGCAGAGACGGGGCCATGCTGTGCCGTTAGAGGGAACAGCAGCTACTCCAGGGCCACTTGTAAAAAGTAAATCTTTGCCTTGGAGGAGGCAAAGGAGAAATGTTTAATCAGCAGACAGTCAAGTGTCTCCTCCGCGGAGGGTTGCTGGCACACTGCTGCGAGGAGGGTTTATCCAGCTCCACTGAAAAGTGGGACAAGTGACCTCAGGCGAAACAGAAACTTGCAGACCTCACCAAAACTTCCTCCTGGCTCTGAATCATCTGGGCTTCTCACCGAGGTGCAGCAATGAGGGGGAGAGGGAATTTAACCCTTAAACCTTCTATGGTGACCCTTTGTATTTAGACTTGTATCTTGACCCTGGAGGGGCAAAATACAGCGTCTTCCTACTTGGCAGATAGGAAGGTCCCAGGTCAACCCCTCAGAGTCCTTATCCCGGTTCTTAGGGAAGGGAAAGAGAAGACTGGAATCCCAGACACAAACACACGCTGCCAAGGACACCAGACCCTGGACCATGTAAACTGAGGTCCCATTTCCTGGAGCCCCAGGGTACCACCACAGCCTCCCTCACAGACAGCATAGGACATGTGTAGTCTGGAATGAAGATGGTGCCAAGGAGCCACCAGTTCAAGCAGAAATCAGACTCTCCCTGATTGACACCTGCCTGTTTGGACTTTCCCTGCTGTCTGAAGCCCACAGCTTTGCTGGACACGTTGTGTCCCAGCAGCATGCATGTAGGACGCGGGCTGCTGGTTCTCCCCAGCCGCTGGGCTGTGCACGGGCTGTTTGTGATGCTCCTCTTGTTCCCATCCCCAGAGGAACGGAAAAATCAGAACAATGCAATGACAACAACAACCACCAGATCGATGGCTTTCCCTCTGCTCTCTTTGTGGTTGTGCACGACTAAAGCCAGTCCCGTTTCAGATCGTTTGGGTTTCAAGCATTAGAGAAGACACAGGCATCCAGGTGTCCTTCATGCTTCAGTACAACCACAACAGCGACATACTGGGTGAAATTCTGACTCCACAGACATCAGAGAGAGCAGCTTCAGTTGTCTCTACCTTTCCTCCAGGCCCGAGGAGTTTACACCCTTCTCAGAGTCCCTGCAGTCTCACAGCCTGGCATAGCCAGTAACCAATTTTTCTCCTTTGGGTACTCCAGGCCCCTGCCCCTGTTCACAGCACACAACTTGTGGTCAATAAAGCATTACAGAGGAGCGTTCTGAATGGTGTTCTCCAAAAGGTTAAGGAGCAGACACACACTGCTGTAATTCCCCTCGCTTAATTCCAGCTCCAGCCTAGCAGTGAATTTATTGTGAACTTGGCAGAGCAGGTGAAGAGGGCAGCTCTCCATCTGGCAGAGGCTGGCTCCTGCCCAGCCACAGCTATCCCCCACCACACCACGTACCTCAGGGTCCACGGGCTGGGTTACAACCAAGTCCCTCCTTGGTGCCACAGGATCACACCTGCCCTTGAATCATCCTGTACCCCAAGGCCAGTCTTAGAATCACAGAATGGTTCAAGTTGGAAGGGACCTTAAATGTCATTGAGTTCCAACCCCCTCTGCCATGGGCAGGGACACCTCCAACTAGACCAGGTTGCTCAAAGCCCCATCCAGCCTGGCCTTGAACACCTCCAGGGATGGGACATTTGGAACTTCTCTGGGCAACCTGTTCCTGTGTCTCACCACTCTCACAGGAAAGAATTTCTTCCCAGTATCTAATCTAAATCTCCCCTCTTTCAGTTTAAAACTGGTACCCCTCGTCCTATCGCTCCTCTCCCTGGTAAAGAGTCCCTCCCCATCTCCTCTGTAGGCCCCTTTACATACTGGAAGGGGGGCTATAAGGTCTCCCTGGCTTTACGTACTGGAAGGGGGGCTATAAGGTCTCCCTGGAGCCTTCTCTTCTCTGGGCTGAACAACTCCAACTCTCTCAGCCTGTCCTCATAGGAGAAGTGCTCCAGCCCTCTGATGGTCAGAGTGTTAGCTCTTGTCTATGCCCAGCCAAGAGCTGATGCTTCTCGGCCAGTGGCACCTTACAGACAGATCACCACAACCCTCCAGACCCCTCAAGCTCCCCCCCCAGATCACAACCCTCCAGACCCCTCAAGCTCCCCCCACCGTTGCACCCTGTGTCGCACTAACGTTTCTCTCCCCACTAGATCCCAGAGGTGAAGACCAGGTTCTCCCCCAACCCTTCTGCTGTTTTCCAGGCGCCGGCACGGATCCTCAACGTGTGAACCCGGGGCCCTCCTCACGCCCAGGCAGCTTAAAATGCCGCGTTTCTGTTGAGATGTATCACTATGCAATTTTCATGAGGAATGTTGAGATCAAAGAACCAGTATTATCAAAAAAAAAAAAAAAAAAAAAGAAAAAAGCAGCTTCAGTGATTAATGATATGCACACACACACACAGAGTTTCTGTTAACACAACAAACCGCCAAGCGCTGGGTTCCGAGGCAGCAGAACACGCTGCGAGGAGCGACCTAGTTAATTTTTTGGAGGAGCAGGTTCATTACTATGCCAGCTGGCATCACATTAGGAGATTGACTTTGGGCAGCAAAGGCAGTATATTGCAGGCAACATCCCTACACGCTTAACTCCACCGGGTGGGAGGGAGAACAATCGCAAGCGGGACAGATAATTAAAACAAAACAAAACAAAAAAATAAAAAAAAGGAGCTTCATTTAGCAGCACCCTCTAAGTAGGCTGGTGACAGACAGGGAGAGTGTGTCTGGCTGACTTCTGAGCTTCTGGAGGGGGCTTGGGAAATAGGACCTCAGAGAGCATCACCACAAATCACAGCATCCAAGGGGCCAGTCTGAACTTCCAGGGCTGTTCTGGAAGCTGGAGGATGCCAGCATCCTTGAACTCTAAAATAAAACTGGCACATACAGTGCCTTGGGGCTCTAAGGCTGGAAAGCTGGATATTTCCAAAATCGGTGTGCTGACGCAGAAGCAAGAGAGGACCCAACTTCAGGAGACAGCCCTGACAGCAACGCAACAGCCTGGTTCGGAGGAGATTGCATGGGAACCTAAAATCTGAAATATTTATGTAATTTGTATAGCTGTTAGGGGGAGAGTGTAAATATTGTATATGGATTTTACCTAAAAGAGTTTTGAGATCCTTTAATAAAAGGGACATGCTTATACTTTTAATAAATATTAACTCTTTGCATATGCAAGGTGGAAAATATTGCCTTGAAATTCCTAAATTATTGCCTGTATATTGGTAATGCTAATGCTAGGAACAACCAGAAGCGAATGTTACTTAGAAACTCTTCTTAAAGACAAAACGTAATGTAGAATGTAAGACATCTTCATTTTTAAGACAGACCATTTTAAGTGTCATTATTCTAAAGCTGATTTTTTTAGTTGGGTGTGTGTTTAACTTTTGCGGAGGTACACGTTTCAAGAAACCATTTTTTAGCCTTTGTTCATCAAGACCGTAGTGGGTTTACAGTTTTTTATCTCAGTGACTTATGCGATGTAATTAGTCTACTGCTTATTTCATGGTTTTGCTAATTATTTTGGAGGAAAAAAAAAAGACCAAATTGAAAAACCTTTACTTTACGTGTTTGAAACACACAAATATGTGGGGGGAATGAAAGGAAGCGACCCTCAGACCCAAGCGGTGATGGGATGTTCATCCATCTGTGGTGAAATGGACTTGAACACAGGAGGATTTTTTTTTCTTAACCTTCCTACTAACGGAAGCTGAAGGCAAATCTAATGAACCCTGGGGACTCTGCAAACACGTACGCATTGTTCTTCTGGGAATTATCAACAATTTCTGCACTGCTGGCATGTGGGTTGTACGTGGAAAACATGCAGATGCCATCTTCTCACTGCATTATGTGAGAGTTGGACCGAACACCGCCGCCAGAATAAGGGAACATCTGCCGTAGGCTGGGACAGGGGATGGCCCTTCCCACACTCAGCCCTGGACCCACAGGATCATCCAGTAACTCCAGTGCTCGCCAAAATAATTTTTCAGGAGATTCATTTTTCAGGAAGTTCATTCGAAACAATTCAAACTGTACTACAGGTTTTGCATGTTAGATGTTTCTAAGAATTCAGTCTGCTTGTTTAATCTCTTTATAATGTTTTTAACTGTTTTGTTCAAAACAATTTAAGTTGATTTCAATCCTGGGCTTTATTAACAGCAAAAAAAAAAAAAGCAAAAAAAAAAAAGAAAAAAGGATAGATTGTCTATTCAGTCTCTCTTCTTAATTCACTGTATTTCTTAAAAAAATATAAATGAACCCAGTTCTGAACAAACTGGTAATATAATAAGCTTGTATTTTATCAAATGGACTGGATTTAATTTAATAAATTAAAATGTATTTTGGCTATTGGTTCTTTCCCAATTTTTTGTTGTTGTTGTTTTAAAACATAAACCCATGGGTATCCAGCCTTGCAGGACAATTTGTCACTGCACGTCTCTCTCGCACAACGTGCAGAGCAGCAGGGCACACAGCACCAAGGAAGGTGTCAGGGTGTCACAGAGATGCACAGGACACCAAGCAAGGTGTCACAGAGACGCCTGTCTGCATCCACAGCCATCAAGAGTCAATTCCTTCCTCCTCAAGCTTGTCTGCAGGCACAGACCCCCAGCAAGAAGGGCTTCCGAGGCACATTTCAAGCTGTGGCCTGACTGCTGATTTGAAAGTGTTAACTGCTTTCCAAAGAAAAGCTGCTGCCCTGCAGAATTCATAATCACCTGAGGGACTTCTCTCAGACATTTTCAAAGGGAAAGCAAGCTACTCAGCAAGTGCTCTGTCAACATGAAGGGGAAAGGGTACCAATGATTTGCTGCATTCACTACTGGGGACACAGAGGCTAGATCTACAGGTGCCCTGCTCGCAACACCCCCTTTAGTGGTGCCCAGAGTGTGACCCGTTAATAGAAAGGGACAAGCACCTTGTGTTTCACCTGTTTCACTCTGCTGTCTCACACAGATTGTGGGAAAACAGTGCTAGCTTTGAATTTTAGCAGAGATCATCGCTTTAGAGTGGTTCCTAAGAACATTCTAGTGAGTAAAGGTGCTGTAGGTACACAAAGAGCCTCCCCAGATACAGCAATGCCAGCTCTTCTAGCTATGCCCTAGGAGACTTCCAGGAGAAAGCCAAAGGCTCGTGAGCTGTTGCCTGGCTCCAACTACAGAAGGGAAGAACTCAAGGAAAACCAACCAGGTACTTACCTCCACAAGGGACAGGGCGATGCAACCGGCTGCTGATGTCTGCAACGTACCTGAATTTGCTTGGAAAGTGCCTTCCTCAACCAAATTGAAAGATATCACACCAAATTCCTCCGAAGAGGGCACAGCTACACAGGTTTTGCAGGCCCCAGGGAGTGACAATGGCAGGACTGTTTCCAGCACTGCTCTCTCACTAGTATCTCTTCCCAGTTGCTCTGGGTTTCACATCCAGGTCCATCACCGCTTCCCAACTGTGAATCACACTGCAACCGAGGGTTATTAGGGTTATTTGAGACACAAGAGAAATGCCCTTTAAAAGGAAGGTCTTACACCCAAAGCATTATAATTTACTACCTACAGAGCAATGTTGAAGGTGCTTGTTTTGTTCCATCTTCCTGACACCTGGCCTGTTGGGACGCTGTGAGTGAGTTTTGGGCCAGCTGCATCCACTCTGCCAGGGAGCAGTGAACACCTGCACCTCCCCGTCCTCAGGTGAAGCTCTGGTTTGGGTAATGATGGAGACCAGCTGGCAGCCAGCCAGCACCAACCCACCACAGTTTTCAATATTCCACGCAAACCAATTCCTTGCTCTGGAGGATGAAAAATTGGAGGAGTTAAGCTTGCTGAGCTCCTGGCTTCCCTTCCCTTCCCCCAACCTCCAAACCCAAGAGCTTTTTAAAATAACTAAAAAAGGGAAAAGTTACCTTTTCCTTCAGATCAATTCCACAACCACCCATTTTTATCAAGAAGTAAAATATTCTGAATATATAGAGCACACAGAAATAGAGAAACTTCTTTGACAGGTGAGAGTCAAGACAATCCTATCACAGCTAATAAAAGAATTTATTGTAAACATACGTATCTTACACAATTATACAGTATAATACAGATAACATGAAGGATTTAAACACTCAGCATTACAAATAGGGGCGATACTTGTAAAGAGATCTTTAACTCATATCAAGACTCTTTAGAAAGCCAGAGAAACATACCGTAACATTTCCCCACACCGTATCACCTGTAGCGTTCCGCACTCGCCTGAACGGGTGGATGAAATTCCACAGCCTCAAACTCATCTCCAAGCAATTCCCACAGGAACCTCTCGCCAACAAATTTATCTCCCACCACTTTTCAAAACTCAAAGAACTTGTTGCAAACATTTCCTACATCTGAAGGACTAAACAAATGTGTTATTTTCTATCCGCTTTTAACAGTTATTTTTTCTTCAGCAAACTTTATATGTTATTAATATAGCATCTCCTAGGAGAATAACCTGTGGTTGCTCAGAAATGTAGCAACAGATCTCCACTGCAAGAACCCCATTAAGAACAGGGGGAATTTATCTGCCTGCTTCAGGGCCAGGCTCAGGACTCATTCTGAAACTCCACTCCTCATAGAAAAGCAGGACACGGGCAAGGAAGCCACAATTTGCAAACAGATGCCCAAAGATGAGCTCCCGCATCCTCAAGAGCTGTTCTGGGAGTTACCAACATCCCAGAAACAAAGCCCACAGGAGCCGAGGGCTGGAAATGCGTGTGTCATTGCAGAAGATCACAGCACGACTGAAGTTTGCCCAAAAGGCTGCGCCCACACAACCTGCAGGCTGTCATAGCAATAGTCACAGAGAGCTGGAAAACACCCTTCTCTTTTGTAGAAGCTGTGCACAGGGGTGCCTGAAAGCAGCATGGACGCTGAGTTCACCACAGCCTACAAACAAAGCGTGGGGCCTGCAGTTCCCCAGCCACCAGGATTCCTTCCTGACTCCTGACACTGAGCTCAAACACCATCACTGCTGCTTGGCTCCTTCCCACACTGACCTCAGCTGCAAAACTAACGTCAGGGCTAAGCTGTGCACTTTACTTGTGCAGGCAATCCTGCACTCAGCTCACCCCAACAAGCCAAGATTATCTTCTGAATCCAGAGCACCCGAAACGCCCTTTCTAGGGGGCATTTAAGTCCTTCTCTGGCTGCTGCTGGGGTTCCATCCATTGGTCCCGTTTCCTGGATTCAAGGGCCAGGTTCTGCCACTCTTACACAAGCAAACTGTCACTCCCTGATGAACTGAGAGGGGTTTATCTGCAGACCCCAGATTTATTTAAGGTGGAGAAGACAGGCAGCACCTCATCCGAACTGTCATTCCCTGATGAACTGAGAGGGGCTTATCTGCAGACCCCAGGTTTACTCAAGGTGGAGAAGACAGGCAGCACCTCATCCGAGGTACACAATACCTTCTTCAGTTTACAAACTGCATCAAACCTATGGTATTCTCCTTGGAAGCCTGAAACCACTCTCTCATTGAACCCTCTCCTGCACACTACTGGAGTTACCATCACCCGTCTTCTAGCCCCAAAAAGCACCAAAAGATAACATTTTGAAGATTTCTGTTCCTATCCCAGGCCAGGAAAGATAACTGTAGATTAATGTTTACAAAAGGCTTTGTATTGTCAAAGCACGGCACCAACAAGAGCGAGGCCTCAGTACACCCCTGTGAGGTAGGTATCCTGCTCCCCATGCTCAGAGATGGGGAAACTGAGGCACAGAGTGATTAAATCAAAGGCCATGCAGCAGATCAGAGACCCAGCTCAGATCAGAGACCCAGCTGAGACCAGCACATTGGAGGTTCTGGCTGTTTGACCCATGCTTCACCCACATGACAGCACTGCCTCACAAAACAAGCACCCTGAAAGCACGACAGTCCAACAGGAATCTCACCAACTTTACAATGGCTTATTCACACTACTAACAAGCACCCATGGGGCAGGACAAAGGGGTGGTGGATGTTGGGTGGTCAGAATGTTGTCAGCAAAGCCTTCTTCAGCGAGGTGTTGTCAGCCAGGCTGCAGATGTGTCTCCCACACCAGTGATGTTCCTGAGACAGGTAAGTGCTGGGGTTAGTAGCAGAACTTCTTCCTGCAGTCAAGACATCAGAGGAGTTCCCCACAAGTGGCAAATCTTCGATTTTTCGGTGCCATCAGGCCCCTCTGTTGAGCAGAACTTAAGCCAAAGTGACGCTGTTCCTACAGCACTTCACAATCCAAGCTGATCGTTAGTGAACGCCGTCAAAACGTTAAGACTTGTAAAACAACTGGCCACCTGCCCTCCAGCACACCCCAAACCTTCTGGCAGCCTGGGGAAGCCCTTGCTGGGCAAGCAAAGGGTTTCAGCCAGTCCAAGCCCACAAACTGTCCTTGCTCCTCTCCTTTCCCATGCAGGACAAGCAGTCAGTCAAGTCTTACCAAGTCTGACCACTGTTTGTTCATCTTGACTGGGCAGGTGCCAGTCTACCCTTTCTGAGGTGACTAAGGTGGCATATGACACCTCCTCTAGTGAGGCAAGGAATTTGTTAAAGTGACACTAAGCTGAATAAGCTAATGATAAACCTACCCAGCTGTGTTCTCAGTCACAGACATCATGCCCAAGCAGGACTGGCAGAATTTGTTGCAGCCATCAACCTTCTGCTCCCCGACACCCAAACCTAAGCAACCAACCCACCCATCTACTGAAATCACCCACATCTGAAAGCTGCCTTTGACTTTCTCGTGTCCAGAAACCATCACTGCTGCTTGGCTCCTTCCCACACTGACCTCAGCTGCAAAACTAACGTCAGGGCTAAGCTGTGCACTTTACTTGTGCAGGCAATCCTGCACTCAGCTCACCCCAACAAGCCAAGATTATCTTCTGAATCCAGAGCACCCGAAACGCCCTTTCTAGGGGGCATTTAAGTCCTTCTCTGGCTGCTGCTGGGGTTCCATCCATTGGTCCCGTTTCCTGGATTCAAGGGCCAGGTTCTGCCACTCTTACACAAGCAAACTGTCACTCCCTGATGAACTGAGAGGGGTTTATCTGCAGACCCCAGATTTATTTAAGGTGGAGAAGACAGGCAGCACCTCATCCGAGGTACACAGTACCTTCTTCAGTTTACAAACTGCATCAAACCTATGGTATTCTCCTTGGAAGCCTGAAACCACTCTCTCATTGAACCCTCTCCTGCACACTACTGGAGTTACCATCACCCGTCTTCTAGCCCCAAAAAGCACCAAAAGATAACATTTTGAAGATTTCTGTTCCTATCCCAGGCCAGGAAAGATAACTGTAGATTAATGTTTACAAAAGGCTTTGTATTGTCAAAGCACGGCACCAACAAGAGCGAGGCCTCAGTACACCCCTGTGAGGTAGGTATCCTGCTCCCCATGCTCAGAGATGGGGAAACTGAGGCACAGAGTGATTAAATCAAAGGCCATGCAGCAGATCAGAGACCCAGCTCAGATCAGAGACCCAGCTGAGACCAGCACATTGGAGGTTCTGGCTGTTTGACCCATGCTTCACCCACATGACAGCACTGCCTCACAAAACAAGCACCCTGAAAGCACGACAGTCCAACAGGAATCTCACCAACTTTACAATGGCTTATTCACACTACTAACAAGCACCCATGGGGCAGGACAAAGGGGTGGTGGATGTTGGGTGGTCAGAATGTTGTCAGCAAAGCCTTCTTCAGCGAGGTGTTGTCAGCCAGGCTGCAGATGTGTCTCCCACACCAGTGATGTTCCTGAGACAGGTAAGTGCTGGGGTTAGTAGCAGAACTTCTTCCTGCAGTCAAGACATCAGAGGAGTTCCCCACAAGTGGCAAATCTTCGATTTTTCGGTGCCATCAGGCCCCTCTGTTGAGCAGAACTTAAGCCAAAGTGACGCTGTTCCTACAGCACTTCACAATCCAAGCTGATCGTTAGTGAACGCCGTCAAAACGTTAAGACTTGTAAAACAACTGGCCACCTGCCCTCCAGCACACCCCAAACCTTCTGGCAGCCTGGGGAAGCCCTTGCTGGGCAAGCAAAGGGTTTCAGCCAGTCCAAGCCCACAAACTGTCCTTGCTCCTCTCCTTTCCCATGCAGGACAAGCAGTCAGTCAAGTCTTACCAAGTCTGACCACTGTTTGTTCATCTTGACTGGGCAGGTGCCAGTCTACCCTTTCTGAGGTGACTAAGGTGGCATATGACACCTCCTCTAGTGAGGCAAGGAATTTGTTAAAGTGACACTAAGCTGAATAAGCTAATGATAAACCTACCCAGCTGTGTTCTCAGTCACAGACATCATGCCCAAGCAGGACTGGCAGAATTTGTTGCAGCCATCAACCTTCTGCTCCCCGACACCCAAACCTAAGCAACCAACCCACCCATCTACTGAAATCACCCACATCTGAAAGCTGCCTTTGACTTTCTCGTGTCCAGAGAGCCAAAGCAACTGTTCTGCCCACTGCATGGGGAAACCAACTCATATGTAGACTGCGTCAAAAAGCATCATTTCTTTTCTTAAAAAAAAAAAAAGTTCCATCTCTTCAATACAGCTGTCTCAGAGGGACCAGGCCTGTGGAGTCTCTCACAGCTAGCAACTCGATGCAAACTGACAATGTTTGTTCAGCCACTGAACATACACTTACCAAGTAAACACTGACATTTAACAACTTGATTTGGAACAGAGCATCATTTTGTTGCATTAAGGTGCATCTTTAATTGGAGGTAACAATCTAGTAGCCCAATGTTATAAATGTATATAATAGTGTCCTACAGAAATACTGGATTTGTCAACCCAACTTCAGTCATAAATCCACCTTTCCTGTAGCATCTTCTCCGCTCTATTTCATTGTTCCTCATTTAGTATCTTCATATGTTTGTTTGTGAGGAAGTCAAGAAAGGGAATATTACAGATGGCTTTGTGAATATTCATCACTGTGATCTCCCTTGGAGTCCTGCAGGGAATGCATCAGAGATGCTATTATAATACACAAAAACACACATGTCCATAAAGCAGTAAGTCAATAAAAACAAAAAAGGCAAAAAGAGCAATAAAAAAATACAGGATAAAAGAACAGGTGCTAGAGCAATACAGGAAAAGCATTAAATGTCACAGCACAAAAAAGCCACTCTCAAATGACTGTGGGAAACATGTTAGGCACTGGGACACGAAAATCAAGTGTTGAAGTATTAATTCTTGAACTTCTATAGCACATACTATGTGTATTTATTTCTAGATGACATATATACATATGTTTAACATATATTATATAAATATTCATGTATTGCATACAAGTAAATATTTAAACTAGTTATTTTCTCATAGTGTTTTTTTTTTTTCAGTTTCAAGCTGACCCAAATCATGCTGTTGAACAGAAATCAAAATATGGCCTAATCATTACCATAAAAATCACTCAGTATCTGAGGCAGAAAGGAGTATAACAGTAAAATAAAGAGGAGATTATTTAGGTTGTTTGAGTTCTGGTGGACCCTGGGTTGTTACCAAGTTGCCTACATGATAACCTGACATGGATGAGTGGCTCTGTAGAAAGAGACCATCTGCCTTTGAGCGGGGCAACACCAGAGAATGCTGCCTCAGTTTTTAATGCTGTCATTGATACTACCCCCTTCGCCACTATGGAGCCAAGAGATGACAAACCCCCTCCTAAGGCTTTGATCTTCCCAGAATATAGTTCATAAATTCCCTCCCTCACGTGGTCTGAGCTAAGCTGACTAAATTCCTGAAGAGAAGTTCAGCCCTTAGGGCTGGTGTTAAGTAGTCCAAGAGGAATCAAGGTGCTGTACCTGTTGTGAGGAGCTGTCTGGTACGCCACAGCCAGTGCCTGCCGTAGGATGTCACTCATCAGCTGTTCAGTGGCCTGTGACCAAAGACAACATTAGGAGACAGCATTATAAAAGAGGAAAGGAACATGCCATTTGCTGGAGTATCAGTGAGAGCAGCTGCAATTCTGACTCACTTCAATCCTGTACTCAAGCAGCAGAGGGCAGTTCAAGATGCCCAAGTGAGTTTTATTAGCGCAGTATGAAGAACTGAGTGTATTTAACAGAAAGAAAGAAACTGCACAGAGCTCAGACTGCACCTCTCCACTCTTCCTGCTGGACCTGCAGAGCAGGGTGGACCCAATGTGGTTTCCCACTGGACCTGCAGAGCAGGGTGGACCCAATGTTCCAGAGCCTGTGCTTTAAAGAGCATTTTAGGGCCCTGCTTCTCACACACCAGAGCTCCTTTTGTATCTGGAATCTGTGGCAGATTCCAGATATTCTCCTGGGAGCTGGTAAGTGCTTGTGAGCCATTCCCTGTGGTCACCAGGCTTATGTCAAGACACTTCCACAAAAAGCTCCCAGCCTGGTCAGCGAGCAGACAGCAGCCTTATGCCCTACACACTTGGCTTAATCAAGGTTCAATCAAATGGTAATTAAGTCTCTTGGCTTCCTGTGCCTGTATCAAGACTGGAGCAGAGGTTTCTGGGACGCTCAGTCAGGAAAGCTGGCATAACTCTACAATTGTAATGGAGCAATCTGATGGTTACAATCTGTGTCCACAAATGGATGTATCTGTATCTGAATTCAACTACGATAAGTAGCAGAGAGCCCAGCAGAAGAGTGCGCATGCGAGTGCCTGTGTAGCCTGGAATCAATTAGCTTTTGTGAAACTGATCCTCTGATAAGCAGCAGTCTGTACAAACAACCCCCAAAATTGTCTTTGGCTTGAAATACAGCAGAGCACTGCTAAAAATAATCTTTGTTACCCCTCAGTCCAAACCCAAGAATTCCAACTCCATGTGGTTCAAAGCTTTGGTGAGAAACCATCTCTGTTTTTCCAAAAGTGATTATGATAGAGAACTGGTTTCTCCCGTAAGGCAGAATTGCTACTGTCTGCAGGAATTCAGCGGTCGCCCAGCTGAGACAAGCCAGGCAAAAAGAAATTGAACAGCATTCAGGAAAAAACAGCTAGCCTTGTATAAAATAATCACGTCTTGGAGAACTCTGGCAGATTGCCCCCAGTTCTGAAGGGTAAGACAAAGTAAGGGGTACTTTCAAAGTTACAGAGTGAGTCAGTGTCTTAATCATGGTGAAAATCTGCAAATCACTATTCTGTGCCTAAGCCAACCAATCAGAAAGCTGGAAACACACACAGAAATATATGACTCTTTTTGGCCAGGTGTGTATCTTTCTATACATGCACAAAGGTGGACATCAGACTCTGCATCTCCTGCTTTGAAAAATGCATATTAATAAGGATATCCCATCTTTTTTCTATATTACTGAGCTAATAGAGTTACAGAAAAGTTCTTATTGTGAAGTAATTTCTTACCTTTAAAATCATATCTTCTATTACTGATGCATAAACATTCTTTTGTACCTCAGCAGGCTGAAAAGAAATCCCTATCTATAAAATACAAAAGAGGAAAAAAATTAGTACATCAAATAACACAACCCATGTTGTGTTATTATAACCCAGATTATATAAGAAACAGATTAGACGAGATCAACAGACAAAAAAATCAAAAATTACAAAGGATAGTTAAAAACAAAAGCAAGCAGACAGTGCAGGCTTCATTAAAAAAAAAAAAAAAACACAGAACAAACAACCAACAAAACCTCTAGAGAAAATGAAGCTTGGCCATTAGAACAGCCTGCAGAAATGCCTCTAAAACACAGAAGAAATAAAAGCAGGTTTTAATTTTTGTTTCAGAAAGTCCACAAAAAAACCAGGCTGCACTGAGTATCTTTGGATTGAGAATGGAAGCTCCATTTTAAAACTGTCCATATATTCAACCCAACTGGCATAATCTTCCCTTGCACCTAAGCTATGGCAACTGAAACTACTTTAAACAGTACCCCCAGCACCAAAGTTCCACATCACAAGACTATTTCATCCCCCAGTCTCACTCTCATCTTGCCCATGCCCTGTCACCTGTGTAGCAGGAGACTAGATACCCTGCAGAATCAAAGTTCTGTCCCTTGATGTCAGCATTACAGGTGGAGACAGAGATCCTTCCTTTCTCCCACAACTTGCTGCTGCTCCTGTCTCTGCTGGTAGAATGGTGAGTGCTCCTTCCTACAAGCTGAGTCAGTCTCCTCTCTTTCCTTCCTGCTGCTGTGACAGAAGATACTCCCTCCCCCTTTCTTTTACCCTAATTTGAATAGAGGGAAGAAATCCAAGCAGTAGAGAAGCTTGCTGTGGTCTAAGCTTTACCACAACCCCTTTTCAGGAGCTGCTATTAAACAGCACAGGTGGGTCCAAGCAACAAGCCCAAATCTTTCACATGATAGGACAGGAAGAATTCAGTGCCAGCGCTCCTTTTCCCTCATTTCCCCTTGCTTCCAGCCTCCCAGGATGATTCTTCTGGTACAAATCCCACTAAGCAACACAGCTACTCCAAAATGACCTCCTGGCTGGCACGCTTCACTTACTCCTGCCAGCACTGGCCAGCTGAGTCTCCTGAGTCAGAAGATCCAATTTTTTCCAGGGCATTTATAAAAAATTTTCATAAAGCATCCAGAGCCCCATATAGATGAAAGAGAGGCAACCAAATAAATGTAAGATCACAATTATCTTAACAACAGTTCTTATTAGTTTTACGATTCATTTATTACCTTCTCTGCAGCGTCCCTCACAAACTCTGATGCAGGCAAGGAAGCCAAGTAGAACTTCACCTCCTCTTGTTTCTCCTCCTGCTCTTTTTTAATGTTTATTTTTAATGGCTCGCTAAAGTTGAGAATATCTACTTCCTCTTCATGTTCTGGTTCTCGTTTCAGAAATTGCTGTAGTTCCTCTAGTTTTCGGCACAGCTCCTCACCACTGCTGTAAGATGAAGGGCATTCTGAAATAGAAGCAATCAATTAAACACATGATAGGTTATGGAAAGCTGTTTATAAACAGATGCACACTCAAAATATGGCAAAAAATTAGGATAATTGGAAGTTATTTTTGTAGTTCCTACCAAACATAAGGACGAACAGAAATGCAAACAGTCATTGAGAGCCTTCTATTTATATCTTCATAACACTCATGGTCCTCTGCCTCATCTGCTCCTACACCAATCAAGAAGGCTGCATTTCACACAAAACCAAAGCACTCTAATGTGAGTCTCCCAAACACTCTCACAGAAGCTTTTTGACAACTAGCAAAGCAGTCTGATGCTCTTTAACTTGCTTGGAGAAATAGAGTTTCTACTATGTAGGCACCAACCAGCACAAAATCATCGTTTACCTTGCGACAAGTATTACCATGCTTTTTAGAAAAATCAGAAGACAGATTTGCAGTGGAATTACAAAAGGGTAACCTCTCTTCTGTATGCTGACATAAGCCAGTAGAACCTTTAGTGGAAAGCTACACAATAAACAGATTCTTTTCCTCAAAGACAAATACAAATCCAGTTATTTATATACAAATATTAAAAGGTGGATGTAGGCTTCCTTTCCACCTTCAGCAACTGCAATGCGGGGTCAGACTTAGCAAATAATAATCAAATCCATACACTTCTGTGAAATACCTTAAATCCCTGTATGATCAGAACAGGAAAACATTTAGCTTTGGGAAAGGGATTACCTGAAGGTGAAACAAGGGACTTTAACTATGAAGAATGGATAAAATTAAAGATGTATGTTTAATACATACTAAAATGGACTGTGGAGATCCCAGAGCTACGCCTAGTACAGTAACGTAGCAGCTGTAATAACACATTGTGAAGCTTCACGTGGGCCAATTCACTTCACTTTTGGAGGTAAATTAAGTCCCACTGAGCTCCATGCTGCTGCTGCCAGTTTTGGGGGTTTTTGCATCTGAACTGATTCCCACTGTTTGCACGGTAAGTCTTTTAACAGTGGCTAAACTTACTCAGGGGCAGAACTGTCATTCCTCCCTGTGCTTAGTTTGTGGGCCCACTTCTTACACTGTGGGGCAAGAATCATCTCTCATAGCATTTCTCTACCCTTGGGCCTCCCAAGGCCCCAGTGCACAATAAAACCCAAAAGAAGCCCCAGAGGACATCAGGAGTGGTAGGGGCAAGGGGCATCCTCATGTGTAGACTTGCCCTTAAGTTCTCCAACTTCCATTATTCCAGAGTGAATTAAGTTAAAAAACACAGTGAGAATCCCCTTCTCTGGGGTGAAGCAGCACGTGTGCATACACACACCACACAGACACAGTCTTGAGCCATTTAATAAACAGCATTTGTGGCAGAAGGAGCTTTTCTGTCCCTCCATACCCACCTGGCTCACTGTCTATCTGTGTCAGCACGTCTTCAATCGAGTCCTCATCATTCCGTAAGGTCTCTGGGTCGGGTGGAGTGTAGCCATGGCATCGACACCAGTGCACCACGTGCTTTGTTTTCAGGGGGGTAATGTTGTGAAACCTGGGGTGCTTCTCGATGATTTCCTGTAGGATCTTTCTCACTGTCATTGCTCGTTGCCACTGTGACAAACCAAAGGGAAAGCTCATTGCACCGGCTACCTGTCTGCATTCACAGCCATCAAGAGTCAATTCCTTCCTCCTCAAGCTTGTCTGCAGGCACAGACCCCCAGCAAGAAGGGCTTCCGAGGCACATTTCAAGCTGTGGCCTGACTGCTGATTTGAAAGTGTTAACTGCTTTCCAAAGAAAAGCTGCTGCCCTGCAGAATTCATAATCACCTGAGGGACTTTTCTCAGACATTTTCAAAGGGAAAGCAAGCTACTCAGCAAGTGCTCTGTCAACATGAAGGGGAAAGGGTACCAATGATTTGCTGCATTCACTACTGGGGACACAGAGGCTAGATCTACAGGTGCCCTGCTCGCAACACCCCCTTTAGTGGTGCCCAGAGTGTGACCCGTTAATAGAAAGGGACAAGCACCTTGTGTTTCACCTGTTTCACTCTGCTGTCTCACACAGATTGTGGGAAAACAGTGCTAGCTTTGAATTTTAGCAGAGATCATCGCTTTAGAGTGGTTCCTAAGAACATTCTAGTGAGTAAAGCTGCTGTAGGTACACAAGGAGCCTCCCCAGATACAGCAATGCCAGCTCTTCTAGCTATGCCCTAGGAGACTTCCAGGAGAAAGCCAAAGGCTCGTGAGCTGTTGCCTGGCTCCAACTACAGAAGGGAAGAACTCAAGGAAAACCAACCAGGTACTTACCACCACTAGGGACAGGGCGATGCAACCGGCTGCTGATGTCTGCAACGTACCTGAATTTGCTTGGAAAGTGCCTTCCTCAACCAAATTGAAAGATATCACACCAAATTCCTCCGAAGAGGGCACAGCAACACAGGTTTTGCAGGCCCCAGGGAGTGACAATGGCAGGACTGTTTCCAGCACTGCTCTCTCACTAGTATCTCTTCCCAGTTGCTCTGGGTTTCACATCCAGGTCCATCACCGCTTCCCAACTGTGAATCACACTGCAACCGAGGGTTATTAGGGTTATTTGAGACACAAGAGAAATGCCCTTTAAAAGGAAGGTCTTACACCCAAAGCATTATAATTTACTACCTACAGAGCAATGTTGAAGGTGCTTGTTTTGTTCCATCTTCCTGACACCTGGCCTGTTGGGACGCTGTGAGTGAGTTTTGGGCCAGCTGCATCCACTCTGCCAGGGAGCAGTGAACACCTGCACCTCCCCGTCCTCAGGTGAAGCTCTGGTTTGGGTAATGATGGAGACCAGCTGGCAGCCAGCCAGCACCAACCCACCACAGTTTTCAATATTCCACGCAAACCAATTCCTTGCTCTGGAGGATGAAAAATTGGAGGAGTTAAGCTCCCTGAGCTCCTGGCTTACCTTCCCTTCCCCCAACCTCCAAACCCAAGAGCTTTTTAGAATAACTAAAAAAGGGAAAAGTTACCTTTTCCTTCAGATCAATTCCACAACCACCCATTTTTATCAAGAAGTAAAATATTCTGAATATATAGAGCACACAGAAATAGAGAAACTTCTTTGACAGGTGAGAGTCAAGACAATCCTATCACAGCTAATAAAAGAATTTATTGTAAACATACGTATCTTACACAATTATACAGTATAATACAGATAACATGAAGGATTTAAACACTCAGCATTACAAATAGGGGCGATACTTGTAAAGAGATCTTTAACTCATATCAAGACTCTTTAGAAAGCCAGAGAAACATACCGTAACATTTCCCCACACCGTATCACCTGTAGCGTTCCGCACTCGCCTGAACGGGTGGATGAAATTCCACAGCCTCAAACTCATCTCCAAGCAATTCCCACAGGAACCTCTCGCCAACAAATTTATCTCCCACCACTTTTCAAAACTCAAAGAACTTGTTGCAAACATTTCCTACATCTGAAGGACTAAACAAATGTGTTATTTTCTATCCGCTTTTAACAGTTATTTTTCTTCAGCAAACTTTATATGTTATTAATATAGCATCTCCTAGGAGAATAACCTGTGGTTGCTCAGAAATGTAGCAACAGATCTCCACTGCAAGAACCCCATTAAGAACAGGGGGAATTTATCTGCCTGCTTCAGGGCCAGGCTCAGGACTCATTCTGAAACTCCATTCCTCATAGAAAAGCAGGACACGGGCAAGGAAGCCACAATTTGCAAACAGATGCCCAAAGACGAGCTCCCGCATCCTCAAGAGCTGTTCTGGGAGTTACCAACATCCCAGAAACAAAGCCCACAGGAGCCGAGGGCTGGAAATGCGTGTGTCATTGCAGAAGATCACAGCACGACTGAAGTTTGCCCAAAAGGCTGCGCCCACACAACCTGCAGGCTGTCATAGCAATAGTCACAGAGAGCTGGAAAACACCCTTCTCTTTTGTAGAAGCTGTGCACAGGGGTGCCTGAAAGCAGCATGGACGCTGAGTTCACCACAGCCTACAAACAAAGCGTGGGGCCTGCAGTTCCCCAGCCACCAGGATTCCTTCCTGACTCCTGACACTGAGCTCAAACACCATCACTGCTGCTTGGCTCCTTCCCACACTGACCTCAGCTGCAAAACTAACGTCAGGGCTAAGCTGTGCACTTTACTTGTGCAGGCAATCCTGCACTCAGCTCACCCCAACAAGCCAAGATTATCTTCTGAATCCAGAGCACCCGAAACGCCCTTTCTAGGGGGCATTTAAGTCCTTCTCTGGCTGCTGCTGGGGTTCCATCCATTGGTCCCGTTTCCTGGATTCAAGGGCCAGGTTCTGCCACTCTTACACAAGCAAACTGTCACTCCCTGATGAACTGAGAGGGGTTTATCTGCAGACCCCAGATTTATTTAAGGTGGAGAAGACAGGCAGCACCTCATCCGAGGTACACAATACCTTCTTCAGTTTACAAACTGCATCAAACCTATGGTATTCTCCTTGGAAGCCTGAAACCACTCTCTCATTGAACCCTCTCCTGCACACTACTGGAGTTACCATCACCCGTCTTCTAGCCCCAAAAAGCACCAAAAGATAACATTTTGAAGATTTCTGTTCCTATCCCAGGCCAGGAAAGATAACTGTAGATTAATGTTTACAAAAGGCTTTGTATTGTCAAAGCACGGCACCAACAAGAGCGAGGCCTCAGTACACCCCTGTGAGGTAGGTATCCTGCTCCCCATGCTCAGAGATGGGGAAACTGAGGCACAGAGTGATTAAATCAAAGGCCATGCAGCAGATCAGAGACCCAGCTCAGATCAGAGACCCAGCTGAGACCAGCACATTGGAGGTTCTGGCTGTTTGACCCATGCTTCACCCACATGACAGCACTGCCTCACAAAACAAGCACCCTGAAAGCACGACAGTCCAACAGGAATCTCACCAACTTTACAATGGCTTATTCACACTACTAACAAGCACCCATGGGGCAGGACAAAGGGGTGGTGGATGTTGGGTGGTCAGAATGTTGTCAGCAAAGCCTTCTTCAGCGAGGTGTTGTCAGCCAGGCTGCAGATGTGTCTCCCACACCAGTGATGTTCCTGAGACAGGTAAGTGCTGGGGTTAGTAGCAGAACTTCTTCCTGCAGTCAAGACATCAGAGGAGTTCCCCACAAGTGGCAAATCTTCGATTTTTCGGTGCCATCAGGCCCCTCTGTTGAGCAGAACTTAAGCCAAAGTGACGCTGTTCCTACAGCACTTCACAATCCAAGCTGATCGTTAGTGAACGCCGTCAAAACGTTAAGACTTGTAAAACAACTGGCCACCTGCCCTCCAGCACACCCCAAACCTTCTGGCAGCCTGGGGAAGCCCTTGCTGGGCAAGCAAAGGGTTTCAGCCAGTCCAAGCCCACAAACTGTCCTTGCTCCTCTCCTTTCCCATGCAGGACAAGCAGTCAGTCAAGTCTTACCAAGTCTGACCACTGTTTGTTCATCTTGACTGGGCAGGTGCCAGTCTACCCTTTCTGAGGTGACTAAGGTGGCATATGACACCTCCTCTAGTGAGGCAAGGAATTTGTTAAAGTGACACTAAGCTGAATAAGCTAATGATAAACCTACCCAGCTGTGTTCTCAGTCACAGACATCATGCCCAAGCAGGACTGGCAGAATTTGTTGCAGCCATCAACCTTCTGCTCCCCGACACCCAAACCTAAGCAACCAACCCACCCATCTACTGAAATCACCCACATCTGAAAGCTGCCTTTGACTTTCTCGTGTCCAGAGAGCCAAAGCAACTGTTCTGCCCACTGCATGGGGAAACCAACTCATATGTAGACTGCGTCAAAAAGCATCATTTCTTTTCTTAAAAAAAAAAAAAGTTCCATCTCTTCAATACAGCTGTCTCAGAGGGACCAGGCCTGTGGAGTCTCTCACAGCTAGCAACTCGATGCAAACTGACAATGTTTGTTCAGCCACTGAACATACACTTACCAAGTAAACACTGACATTTAACAACTTGATTTGGAACAGAGCATCATTTTGTTGCATTAAGGTGCATCTTTAATTGGAGGTAACAATCTAGTAGCCCAATGTTATAAATGTATATAATAGTGTCCTACAGAAATACTGGATTTGTCAACCCAACTTCAGTCATAAATCCACCTTTCCTGTAGCATCTTCTCCGCTCTATTTCATTGTTCCTCATTTAGTATCTTCATATGTTTGTTTGTGAGGAAGTCAAGAAAGGGAATATTACAGATGGCTTTGTGAATATTCATCACTGTGATCTCCCTTGGAGTCCTGCAGGGAATGCATCAGAGATGCTATTATAATACACAAAAACACACATGTCCATAAAGCAGTAAGTCAATAAAAACAAAAAAGGCAAAAAGAGCAATAAAAAAATACAGGATAAAAGAACAGGTGCTAGAGCAATACAGGAAAAGCATTAAATGTCACAGCACAAAAAAGCCACTCTCAAATGACTGTGGGAAACATGTTAGGCACTGGGACACGAAAATCAAGTGCTGAAGTATTAATTCTTGAACTTCTATAGCACATACTATGTGTATTTATTTCTAGATGACATATATACATATGTTTAACATATATTATATAAATATTCA